GGTTAGACTGTTCCGGCACACTAGTGTTCGCGCTGGGTAGTCAGACCAGCAAGGGATAAGTGGGATAAGTGTTAGGTTGACTAAGGACTAACTACGGACAAGTAAGCTACTTATAGGTAATTGTATGTAGGGTTTAGGAGGTAGTTTAGGAGGTAGGGTCAAACGGAGGAGTCAAATGAAAGTAAAGGCACGATCACGTGCGGTAAGAGAAGCGCGTCGCGCGGTAAAGGAAAGTGAGTAAGAAATAGAATAGAGTGGTATGCTACCGTTACACTATCGGCCCATTCAACTTCAAGTCTTATTCCGCTCTTCCTTGCTGGCTAATATTATAATGAGTGACTGCCGCCCATAAAATGAGGCCATTGAACACACCCTAAGGCCACATCCCTCCTCGATAATAACTGACTGGAGGTCCTCCAAAACTGGCTCACGCTGAGTGCGTATTTCAGGGGGAGTAAGCTCAAGACAAAAGGCCAAACCGCGTTTCAGGATGTCGAGCGTGGTCTCGGGCCGGGGAACGGGATACCTGGGTCATTCCTCGGCGTCAGTCTAGAGCAATGCATAAGGATTGGTTGCACCAGTCGTTTTCCCTCTTGCTACCACCGATGATCACCTGGAATGAACCTCAGTTAACATCAAGGGAAATGAAAAAAACTGCGAACATCACCACTTCTGCGCGGAATAATGTAGGTCCAAGATCCACTTTTGCTGCTAATTGCTCTTCCGGACTTGACCCATGGAGCCCTGAGCAGCACAGTCTGGCCCTCGAGTTGGGTAAACATCTTTGTCTTCGACGCCTCCAAGATTTCGTGCTCCTAATCCTACGCACACGACAACCGCCGAGGGCGAGGCAAGACACTTGCGTCCATTGAAGATCCCTGCGCCACCTTCCACAACCTGTGCAATGTGCTGAACTGTTCCTCGAATAATGGACCCTCTGGTAGCAAGAAAGCGGGACAGCAAATAATTGAGATAAACGGGGCAGTCAATTGTGACCGTCGAAAATGAGATTTCTTCGGCACAGTCTGGCGGTAGACTGCTTGAGGGAATGGCTTTGAACTATATCGAAATGAGTTCGCCGCAATCGGCTGGGTAGAGTCGTCTGAACCACACATCTGGCATCACTTGAAGAACCTCAGGGTTCGCGATTGGTCCTGGGAAATATTCGTCTTCGTGCATGCACAGAAAGCAACCCTCCGCCGACCCTCCCGGAGCGGATAGCTCCCACACCGTTTTAAACGTTTCCTGGTCCATTTCTATCAAAATGTTAATATCGCGGCAGCACGAAATTTAAATCACGCACTCTGCTGACGAACGTCCGAGCCTGCAAGGGAGACGTGGTGTGCACCCTGGATAGGGGTTATCTATATTAGAACCGGAAGCCAACCGGCAAGCTACGTACCGCTAGTGGCTCGTATACTTAATGTTCTTGGGGTCGCTGGGGAGTATTTCCGCCACGATACTGACGTGATACCCTTCCCCTCTCTTTCTTGGATGCGTACGGCAGTAGTGAGACCAACATCGCCTGCCGGAGGTTGATTTCAACCGCACATGGAAGAAAATTAAGGTCCGCACCAGCACCGAGTACAACTAATTGCTTCGGATCAAGCATGGCACTGAGAAGAGGTCGTTTGAAGACTGTGAGATGGTGTTGGATCGCTGTGAACTAAATAACACCTTACCTGCCAGTGAACCGGGTAGATAGCCCGAGTACTCACGATAGATCTGAGAAGGTCCGCCCTGAGACGATACTGGCTCGAAATTACGAGCTACGTAAATGTTAGAACGAGACCGCCACGGAAATAACTCACAAAGCAGACTTAGTATCTGTGTGCATAGCCTCCCATTTCAGTGGAAATGTGGTGGGTAATATGGCAGAACACCTTCGAGCACATGCATGATGCCAGTGAGATGGATGGTTACTGGATGATCTTGAATCCGAAAGTTGTGGTTGGAACAAGCGTAGTATCTTCTGCACCCGAACCAAGGACCCAGACCTTTCCGAAATCAGATTTCCCTTCCCCGAAGCGCGAATGGCCTGTATAACGGTCGCTGCACCCGTACTCGTCCCGGCGTCCTGGGCGGCGCGCGTCATGCAGCGTGTCAATTGGAAGGGAAAGATGGCGCGCGTCAAGGCGGGAGTACGCCATATGTTCCAGAAGTAACTGTTGATAAAATAGTTGGCATTGGAGTGAATATGAATCTACAAAAGTGGTGTGTCTACTATCCCTCGTCGTCTCGTCGCCTCGTCATCTCGTCCCGGCGACGAAACGACCGCAGGGGCTTGCTTGCTCGCCCCCGGTCGCTCCGCGCCAGAGGAGGGCGCAATCGCCCTCGTTACGCCCCCCGCGTCTGCCGACGCAGCGAAAACGCGGACACGGGCGATTACACCCTCCTTCGCGTCCCTGCCACTCGCTCCGGGCCCTCCACGCCCCCGAGAACGCAGACGAGGGCCTCGTCTCGCGCCCGTGTCCCCGCCGCTCGCCCCCGAGAACGCAAGACGAGGGCGCAATCGCCCTCGTTTCGCCCCTCGCGTCCGCCGACGCAGCGAGACGCGGGCGCGGGCGATTACGCCCTCCTCCGCGTCCCCGCCGCTCGCCCCCCGGTCCCTCCACACCCCGGGAACGCAAACGAGGGCGCAATCGCCCTCGTCTCACTCCCCACGTCCGGCGACGCAGCGAGGACGCGGACGCGGGCGATTACGCCCTCCTCCGCGTCCTCGCCGCTCGCCCCCCGGTCCCTCCACACCCCGGGAACGCAAACGAGGGCGCAATCGCCCTCGTCTCACTCCCCACGTCCGGCGACGCAGCGAGGACGCGGACGCGGGCGATTACGCCCTCCTCCGCGTCCCCGCCGCTCGCCCCCCGGTTGCTCCACACCCCGGGAATGCAGACGAGGGCGCAACTGGCCCTCGTCTCACTCCCCGCGTCCGGCGACGCAGCGAGGACGCGGACGCGGGCGATTACGCCCTCCTCCGCGTCCTCGCCGCTCGCACCGCGAGGTCTCCACGCCGCAGACGAGGGCGCAACTGGCCCTCGTTGCGTGTCCCCGCTTCCCCCGGTCGTCTCCACGCCCCGAAGACGCCGACGAGGCTGCAAAGGGCCGTCGTCGGGCGTCCCCGCTCGCCCCGTGCTCTCCACGCCGCAGCGGCGTCGTCTTCGCGCCCTGGGAACGCAGACGAGGGCGCAAATGGCCCTCGTCTCGTGTCCCGGCTCCCCCCGTCCTCTCCACGCTCCGAGGACGCAGACGAGGGCGCAAAGGGCCCTCGTTGCGTGCCCCCGCTCCCCCCGCCGTCTCCCCACGCCGGCGCCGCTGTCTCCACGCCCCGAGGATGCAGACGAGGGCGCAAAGGGCCCTCGTCGTGTGCCCCTGCTCCCCCCGCCGTCTCCCCGCGCCGGCGCCGCCGTCTCCAAGCCCCGGGGACGCAGACGAGGGCGCAAACGGCCGTCCCACTCGCGCCACGTCCGTCAGGGTCGTCAGCAGTGAGCACACCCCGAAAACGGAGAGGACGAGCGGTCGTCTGGCTCCGCGTCCGCGCGCGTCCTCTGCGCACCCGAGAACGCACAGGAGAGCGGCACGCCCACCCCCGCGCTCCCTCGGTCTCTCCTCCGCATGTGTGGAAGGGGCTCACCTCGATTGGGAAGGCGCTTGAGGGCAGGCGACAGCGCAATGAGGGCGGGCGGCCAGCGGAATGGCCCGCACAGCGATAACGAAGAGGCAGGGACGTGGAGGGGCCTTGGCGTCGAGCAGGGCGGCGGCATCGAGTAGGGCAGTGTCGGCGTCGGCGTTGTTGAACAGGGAGGCGTCGGCATCGACGTCGAGCAGGGCGGCGGCGGCGAGGAGGGCGGCAGCAGCGTCGGCGTCGAGCGGGCAGCGAGCGGGAGCGGATAGAGGGCGCACTGCCACCCGGCTGCAGGAGAGCGCTTGATGATGGTGGATCCCGCGGCACGAGTGGCAGATTGATAGGTGTTTTGATCAGCCGAGATGCCGAATGATGTGATCCGTGACTGGTGATGCGCCATCATCGACAGCCGCGGACGCATCACCGGTGGTTGGGCTGTGTTGGGCAGCTGTCGGGCGTGGCGGGACGGGGTACGCGGTCCGACAGGGTTCCATTACAATGGAATACGTAAGGGGCGCCAACGGGAAATGAAGTACTTCCCGGTGATGCCATCAACTCGGGATAATAGCACTATGGACTCGTACGCACCAGTGCCCCGATCGGATCAGCTGTGCAGGTTCTGTAAAACAGATATTGAGATGCCCGAACATGCCCTGATCACCTGCCAGTCCTCGGACATGCTGGTTGAACTTCGAGCAATTTTCTTGGCCAAATCTTCTCTGATCTCCTAGACCTGCAGCACCAGATGGCGGAACTTTCGAATGTAGAGTTCCTCAAAGCCATTGTTTATCCAAGATCAATGATCGCCCTGGTTGCCAAGTGTGCACATGATGTTCGACAAATATTCAATGCCGTCCCTGTGTTCCGCTTGCGTGCTTGAGAGGTTTAACTGAGTTGATGTGCTAACCGTATTTCGTCTTTTGGTGTTCCTTTGGATCTACGGTGGAGAGCTGGACGTTTCGACTGAAACCGTGACCGCGAGCTTGTCCGGAGGAATTCTGAGAGGCCCAGGGGCAATGGTGTATATACTAGTGCCTGTACACTGGGGAACCCCTGGAACCGGTGTTCATGAGTTGGACCATGCCGTGTAATGCTACCTACCCACCTACCTACCGACAAAGAACCATCAACTACTGGAAGCAGATGCGGGCCTCACAATAAATGGGGCAGTGGGTGAAGTGAGTGAAGTGATGTTGTTTCGCCACTCAACTTACAATTACCGACACAACAACTTGAAATTCCAGCCGTGATTCTCGGAATCGCATCGGCATCTCCTGGCAAAGGCTGAACCCCCGAACCGAGCCGTTCTAACCTTCTAGGGCCGTCAATGTCCTTCATTAATATCACGAGGGCAAAAAACGTCCGGGTAAAATAAGCACGACTCGAGCCGGAGTTGAACCGGCATCTCCTGCAGAATATTCGAAAGAATAATCTCCATTGGACGCAGATGTGGGCTATCCACTATCGAGTCTTGTCATTCCGCCCTTTGGTCTCGGGATAGATTACTGTTCACTCTGCTCGAGCGAGGCGAAATGCATGCTGAAGATCTCTCAGCCCTAGGTGGAGCAGGTACAATATCGAGCCCCTCTACCTAGGCGTTTCGTGAATACTTGAGGAAGAGATGTAAAAATAATTTCAAGAACAAAAGACGAAAAAAGCACTCTTGAGGAGTTATGACTCGAGCCGGAATCGAACCGGTGTCTCCTGCAGAACATACAGACTACCCACACAGTGGAAGCAGATGCGGGCCATCCACTATCGAGCCTTGTTATTCTGCACCTGGTCGCAGGATACGTTAACGTCCACGGAGCTCGAGTGAGGCAAATACGTGCCAAACTCCTACTGAAGTTGCGACATTAGGTAAATATGCGCCATCGAGCCCCTCTACCTTACCTGACTCCTGTGTAAATACTTGGCTCGGAAAGATATGAAATGAAACCAAAGTAGCGTGGAAAGCGCCGTGACTCGAGCCGGAATCAAACCGGTGTCTCCTGCTGAACTAGCTGGACAAATATACGAGGAGCAGGCGCGGGCCGTCCGCTATCTATTGAGTCCTGAATTCTTACCCGACCTTGAATGTGGGCCTTGAATATGCTGCGGGAGGGAAGTGAAGTAAGTGCTGCTAAAAGGAGAGGTTGATCTTCACCACCATGATATGACTCGAGCCGGAGTCGAACCGGCGTTTTCTGCCATGGTATGAAAGATATTTCCACGCAAGCCACCGGGAGCAGGTGCCGGTCATCCGCCATCCAGTCGCTCTAGCTTGGACTGCCTCGCTCGCTACGAGCTTGAGGACAAAATAAACATGTGGCCAAATTCCTCGCATCTCTGGGAGAATTATGGCCGAATGTTTTCTTTTGCTCTATCTGAAAGTTTTCTGAAAGGCTGAATATTATTTGTGCGCACATCTCGCATAAACGCTTGGGTTGAACTGAAGTTCATTTCCGTTCCCATCAGCGGCTATGCCCGCTATTGGGACCTGTTTATTTCCCAAGCCCTCGCTCCCGCGCCCTTTCCGTCCACCGCTCAAGCCCCCGAACTGCAGCCCGGGTCCTCCTCTCCACTGGCATTCAACCACCTTTCATTTCCAGTGCTCCGCCTCTGTGATGCCCTCGGCCGAATCCAGTAACTCCGCGCCTCGATACAGACACCCTCCCAGCCGCCTGCCTGCCTGCTGTTCTCCTGCTGTTTCAACTTCTTTTCTCCCTATCGTCGTCTGCTGCCCTCCTCTATCTATCTCCCATTCAACTCGAATCTCCCACCGGTCCTACAACCGCGCCCGTCTCCTGGGTCTGCTGATACCTGATACCGATTATCACAGTCTCCTGCACTTCCGACTCAATTAGTTCCGGCAGCATGGCGTCGGGCGCCCCCGCCCCTTCCGCCTCCGCTTCCACCGCCAACGCCCTCCCCGCCCGCGCCACCTTCTCTTCACCGCGCCCCTCCCCGCCTCCGCTTCCGCCTCGGGCTCGGCCCGATGCCGCCCCCGCCCCCGACGCCGCCCCTGAAGCAGCGCCGCGTCTCGCTCGCGCTCCCTCCTCCCCGCGGCTCGTCCCCGCGTGGCACTTCCGCGACGACACGAGCGTCGCCTACGCGCGCAAGGGCAAGGTGCGGCGCCTCGCCGCCGCGTCCGACGACGAGGACGCCGAGGGCGCCGGCGAGGACGGGCCCGCGAAGAAGGCGCGGCGCAAGTGGACGCAGGAGGAGACGCAGATGCTCGTCGCGGGTGTAATATTGTGCGCGCCCTTCCTTTCTCCGCAAGCGCACACACCTTTGTGCTGACGGGACCCGTAGCACGGCGTCGGAAACTGGAAGGCCATCCTGTCGGACCCGAATCTCGCGTTTGCGAATCGCTCGCCCGTGGATTTGAAGGACCGGTACGTGCCTCCTTTCGTTGTTTCTTTGTTTCTTTCCTCATTTCTTCCTTCCTTCTTTTCACTCCTCTTCGTCCTACATCTCGTTTCGTCACCGCGCCTGTTACTCGTAGCCGCGCGGGTTTCGCTCGCTCGCAGCAGAGATCCGCACAAACGCCGGTTGTCCCGTGTCCCGCACCGCCTCTGCCTTCCCGCCGCGTGCGTGTACGACCCCGCCCCCACCTTCCCGTCGCACGTGCGTGTAAGGACACGTCTACGAGCGGAGACGGCGACACGTCTGCGGCGCAGCGTGCAGCGTTGTCCCTTCCCCCGCGTGCCGTCTAGCTTCTAGCTTTGCTCTTTGCCTTTCTGCGGTTCTGCGTGCTTTTCTGCCTTTTGGACGCGTGTTACCTGCGTGTCAGTACTTGCTTTGTCGGAGCACGGGGTGCGTGCGTCGGCGAGTGGAGGCACGTAGCTGGGTGGTGGTACACGCTGGAGGGGTGCGTGCGTCAGCGAGCGGAGGGCGGTGAGTAGAGGCGAGTGGGGGTGCGTACGCTATCCGAATGCCAGCGGGTGCGTCCGTGGTGGGGGCGCCCAGCAGGGCGTGATACCGCGCGCCGTCCTTCCGCCTCACGTCGTGGAGTGCGGCGGACGTCGTGCGCGGTGTGCACGGCATACGGCCCGCGGCAGGGGCTCGGATTCGGATTCGGAGTGGTGCGCGGGGCGTGTATGCCGACGAGGCAGACACTACACATGTCTACGGGGGCGCGGTGTCGTTTCTGGTGCGGTGTCCGTGGTGTTTGTGTGGTGCAGCGACGTCGCGCAGTGGCGGCGTTGTGGGTGACGGCATTCGCGTGTGGGGTGGCCGACGAGCAGCGGGGGGGCTGCGCACAACGGCTCACGAGTGGGGGCGTCTTGCTCCGTATTCGGAGTCGGGCTCGATCGCGGGGCGTGTGTGGGGCGCGAGGCGTGGGGTGGGGAGCGGTGTGCGCACGGCGGGTGAGGGCGCTACGCAGGGGTCGGTGTCGCGTGTCTGCGCGCGTCGGACAAGCTTGACGCGTGCGTCGGGGGCGTGCGGGGGTGAGGCGTCGTTCTCGTGTGGCGCGTCCCACAAGCCGTGACGCGGTGGGGGCGTCTTGGGTGTGGTGCGCGCTCTGTGTTCGGGCTCGTGCCTGCGGAGGGCTCCGGGCGCGGGACGGGGGAGGACGCTACACGGTCGTCGTTGTCCCGTGTCTGTGCGTCGGATGAGCTCGACGCGCATGGGCGTCGTGGGCGTGCGGGGGCGAGGCGTTGTTCTCGTGTGGCGCGTCCGCGTCCGGAATACAGCCGGTTCCGCGCTCGCGCGGTGTGCGTTGGGACTCGGGATAAATAAGGAGGGTGCTTGAAGCGGGCAATGGAGAGGAGGGAGGACATGCGCGTGCTGTGCGCCCCGGACGAGGGTGGCGTGGCGTGGCGTGGCGGGGCGCTCGTGGTATGAGTCCCGCTATCGCGGTGGGTGTGGACGAGAAGGATGCTGTCCGCAGGTGGGTTATCACATCTCAGCTACCCACTCGTACTCGTCATCTCACTCATGGATCCGGATTGCAATTAGCTACCTTACCGATACACCTCTCTGTATTCCCTCTTTTCTCTCTTTCGTGTACTCTTTTCTCTCTTTTTGTGTGCTCTTTTCTCTCTTCTCTTGTACTCTAGATTCAATGTGTACTCGTACTCTATGTAGACTGAGGGTTTTATGGAGCGGTGTTATTGTACACGGCTATCCCGCCTGTCATCGGGATTTGATAGGATTTGATGCCCATCAAAATCCAACGATTTTCCCGTCGGATTTCCAAGGAAACTCATTGGGAGCCATTGAATATAAAAACTTCTGGAATCCATTGGAGCGGTCATTGGATTTTGGGGATCCGGCTAAATCAGCATCCTTCGGACTCCTGTTGAATGCAGTACCTGGGCGCATAAAACCTGAAAGTACAGGTGTATGCATAGCACCAACCTGTGGTCCAAGGACCTCGGATCATGGATGGAAGTGTTGATTTCTGAACTTGAAGTACAGATCCAATTTCATTAATAAACATCTTCCTTGAGCATTCTCTATCTATTGGCTATAGACTGTGCCTTCAAATGGAATGAGAGTTGGATCAGAGGCTACTGTGTGCGGACAGGTGTGGACTTTGAGTTGTTTGTAGCCGTGGGTCAGTTGTTGATGGAGGCAACTTCCTTGGGAACTATATATGGCAGCCTCGTTTGTTGGTACTATCGGCTAATGGTTATTACCCTTTCATCTCGCCTCGCTGAGGTCTGTCGTTCGATCCTGCCCTTAAGCAAAAATTTGCCCCAATTACCGGCTATTTTCTCTGCATAATGGAACCATTGGAATCCTAGACCTTTCACGCGGTCGACCAGTGAGCAAGCCTTTGGAATTCATAGGGGTTTATATCTAACGGAGGCCAAGAGCTGCTCGTTAGATTCCTACAGTCATCAAACCCGTAAAAATCCTATGACAACCGGGATAGCCGTGATAGACATTGCACAGGAGAATAAATAGATGCTGCACAGGAGAATAAAAGGCCACATTTGCTTGTTCGAGAAATAGGAGGCGCACGTTGATCGCTTATTCGCGAAGGCTGTCACGAAGAACGGGGCTCTTTCTATAGGGGTTTGGATTATTCGTGAAAGGGGGTGAGAATTTCTCCGAGGGCGCATCAGAGGGCGGATCATTGGTCATAGGTTTGTAGTCTAGTTGCCGAGACGCCGATTCAGCAAAACTTCGGGTCAAATTTTATCGACTTGGCCAGGGGAGCCTCAAATTGCACTTTATTTTAATCTGTGATGTTCACTCCACTCTCTGTAGGCATTGACTAGCTCGAAGCGTGTTGGTTTTTTGGGTGCGCGTATGGAGGTAAGCGGTTAGGCTCACAGCAACGAGAAGACCTGATGAGGTTTGCGGTTGACTGAGGCTAGGAATTATCGTGCTCATCTTACTCGCTCCGGCTAACGTTCCATCGTACCACCATGTTGATTCACGCAATTATTATTAATTAAACACTCAGCGCAATAACGAGTACTTGCCATAGCTCAGAGTACTTATAACCACCGGTACCATAGCGTACCGTGGCAT